AAAGCACCTCCCATTTAGTTCGGGAGAGACACAAACCTGAGAGGGGCAGTTACAAATAACTCAGTTATTTGTAAAATTGTGGTCTGAAAGGCAGAATGTAAACCAGTGGTTTACAGCTAGCAGCAGAGAGCAGAACCCAGCAAAGAAAAGGCAGGCAGTGAGAAATGGAGCTGACAAAAATCCTGCAGGAAAGAATTTGCACTGAAGTTGCCCATAAGTGAGTATTGGTCAAAAATATTCTGGCACTGTGAAAAGGAGGGTGTTACATAGAACTTTATCAACAGAAATGTTATCTCTGAGGAGCTGGGAAATACAACACAGCAGAAGAAAGATGCCTGTGTAAAAAAGATTAAGTAGAAACAGTTGGTTTCTTTACAAAGCTTTCCATGAAGTTGGATTTCACATCAAAAATATTCTGGCACTGTGAAAAGGAGGGTGTTACATAGAACTTTATCAACAGAAATGTTATCTCTGAGGTGCTGAGAAATACAACACAGCAGAAGAAGGATGCCTGTGTAAAAAAAGATTAAGAAGAAACAGTTGGTTTCTTTACACAGCTTTCCATGAATTCGTATTTCAACAATGTTTATTTTAAAGCATTTGCCTGAGCCTTCTAGACACAAAGCCTAAGATCTCAGTTTTGAATAAAACTATACATTTGTATATACCTGAAAGACATGCATGAAAATATCAAAATGCAGAAGGACTGAACTGAGCCTCAAACATAACTACTCAGTGAGATCCAGCAACAACAGAAAATATGTCTGGCTTCATCTGCTCTCAGTTTTCAAGCTGATCAATGTTACATTCAAATAACTCTACGGTAGCTGGGCTTACACAGAAGAGTAAAGCAGCATCTCTTTTTCCCCATGGACTTTACTATGTAAACAGGTAGAACCTTTTCTACAGCAGTGCTTCTCTTATGTTGTAATACTAATTGTTCCTGTTTCCTAAGAAAGTTAACATAATGAGAAGCACAGAGGCATAAAAAAATAAAAAATTTGAGCATGGAAAATGACATTATAACTTCGTTAACAGGCATCCTTCTCCTTCAAGAGGTTGGTGTTTCCCAAATAATAATGCAGAAAAGCAATCAGAATGACGAACAGAAAATACACTTTCTTAATCAATTTTTCTATCCCTACTAGAAGCAAAACATCTGGAAGATCCTAGAAAACTGCCTCTCTTCCAAACTGCAGTGTCTCCAAAGGATACAACTCATCTGAAGGATTTTGACAGTACAATTAAGTTTTTTATTCCCCATCTGTGTTGCTGTCTAAAGGTGAAACTACTAGAACTGAATGGGAAGTAGTCAGAAGGGATGGGAGACATAGATCAAAATAGAGACATTTTCAATGAGAAATGCAGAGAAGCAACGAGGACCTGAGAAAAGGAAGAGAGGAATACTGATTTAAAAAATGCTTGGTAAGTAAATTGAATGAGAGTGGGGGAGACAGGAAGAAAAATGGGAGAAGATAAATAAATGGAAACATAAAACAAAGAATAATGAGAGAAAAGATTGTTCCTGCTGGCCAGTTTAAAACAGAGTATATTGTATTTATTCATATTTAGAATGGGAGGATGCATCTGGAGTGAACCTGGTGGTTTAGATTTTAAATATGGAAAAGGAACTAAGACTACATCTGTTCTGTTTGATAACCTAATTCTTCAGCCCAGTCCCAGGATCTGGTCCCTTGTCATTCACATCTGAATATGTTCATCCACTTGTGTGCTTTCACCTGGAGTTAATTGACTGCTTCCTACCAGGAAGAAGCCAGGACAGGGCCCTGGAGGCTGCTGTGTGACCAGCACAGATCAGACTGTGGCACCACCCTCCCCAGGCTGTCCTCCAAAATGAACAGAGCCAGCTCACCACACACCACAGAGGTTCTCACACTGCCGAGCACGCAGCAGAGTCCCCCTGTACTGCCACCCAAATGCCACTCAGAAGGGCTGCTACCAGCCCTCAGTTTATTTCAAGCATTTTGAATTAAATGAACGTTAAGAACAGAGATTACAATTTAAGGGGCCACCATATGGTGCCACCCAGGAGAGCTGGGGAAGCGTGTCACAGCATGGATCCTCCCAGGAGGAAATGAGGCTGAAGCAATGTGGCCACAAGCTGTTCCCTGGCAGCCACCCCAGCTCCTGCTGACTTAGAGCTACGGTGGCACAGGAGGAGGAAAAACCATGCAGCAAACTTCTGGCTCCTGGAATGAGATTGCTTTCACCTGGATGCAGACAGGAGATGGGGGAGTCCTGGATGTTGCCCTCTGCTTTCAACACAAGAGCAGGCATTTGCAAAGGCAGCTGCAGCCCGAAAAATAACATTTTAGGATCACACCCAGAACAATAGAACACGATGAGTTTTGGTCAACTGCCACGCAACACACCCTTGATGTAATACTAAAGTCACACATGGCAAGGTACTCCATTATGAAATCTTGCATAATCATCTTTCATTAAATTATTTTCTAGTGTCGTTCTCTGCTTATGATTTTGTTATGTTTTTCTCTTCGTTGTTTACCTCATTCATGAATTAGCTTTCTGCATTAGTTTTCTGTGGGACAATTTAATAATTTCAGGATGTTTTAAGAGCTCTTAATAAAGAAAATAAGTGAATATTAATAAAATATCACGAAAAGTAAAAAATTGGCAGAGGTGCTATAAATCAATGCTTTGCTGTATTTCCAGGGAGGACAAAAATTGATCATTTCCTATCTAAATAACTATTCCAAATGACTTTTAGAAGTGTTGATAACATCTGTCTATAATTGTATAACTATAAAAATTGCTCTGCTTTTTTTTTCTTTCATTAGGAGAAGGAACAGGTAACAACACTGAACTTGAAATTATCTTGTCTGGATTCTTTAATAATAATAATAATTTTCCTTTGAGCAGGAGCAATTGCCTAGTTAATAATTGTTCAGTGATCTCTTGAAATCTTTATTTCACACTGTTGCTTGGTGAAGTTGGCATGTGAGTTTACCAGAAGGTTCCTGTCTTACATACAGATGCCAATACACTTCATTCTTTTGATGAACTTCATTTGGAGAATGTGAAAACTGTTAGAAGCAGAAGGTGAATCCTTGTTTTGCCATGCACTCCAGGAGATTCTGACAGCCTCAGCATCCTCCCATGAGCAAGTCAGCCCAGCCAGGTGCCAAACCTGAGTTGGGCAGTCCTATGCGTGCTTCATGAGCCTCACAGATGTAACTGGTGTGTGCATGAGCACCGCCCTTGTGCATGAATCCATCAGCAATCTCTCCAGGAATGTGCAGGCTGACTGATAAAAATGCAGCTTGCACACTTCCAGACAGATGGCTACACTATTCACAAGTGTCCTGGGACTGCTGAGGGTGCCACAGCACCATGGAAGCCCTGGGGAAAATCACACACAGTCAGTCCTTCAGGATAATGTTGTCTCCAGACAGATGGCTACACTATTCACAAGTGTCCTGGGACTGCTGAGGGTGCCACAGCACCTTAGAAGCCCTGGGGAAAATCACACACAGTCCTTCAGGATAATGTTGTCCTTAGCAGCAGAGCCACTCCCTGCCTCCAGAACAACATCTCCAGCAAGTCTGCTGGAGACTGACAAGTACTTGCTCTCCAAGCAGGGAAGTGCTACAGACTAAAGGCACCCTAGGAAAAATTCCTTTTGAGACCGCTGATCAATATTTTCACTTTGCCCTTTATTTTCCTGGAGGTCAGCTGAGCAGTGGATGTTGTTGGCTCATGAAGGAAGCCTAAATCTGCTTAGTAGTGTAGAACTGACTTGGAAAATTCAAATTTCCAACAAGCTACATGCCAAGAAAGATTCTACAAGAGGCTCCTGTAGAGACTTGCCTTTACCAGCGTGTTAGCAAGAACTGGTTCATCCCTTGGGACACTGGAAACAGCACTATCCAGCTACTCCCAGATGGATTTCACAATTGCAAAAGTGATATTTTCAGACTTTTTTCTTAGATGTGAAAATCGTTAGCATTATTTTGCTTCTTTTATACATCCCAGCCTATCTAAAGGCAAAGCATATGCCAAGGAACCTGCAGGGCAGCAGCACAGAGCTAGGATGCTGAGCACTGCCAGTGCCCTGCAATGTCACCAGCTCTTGAAGCTGGAGGAAGTTTGGTTAATTTTTGATACTAACTCTGGGTTTGTTTTTCTGAGCAAGAACTAATCAAATACATGAAAAGTCAGGCTTCTTCACAGCATCTTTATGAGATGAGAGATGGCTACCTCCCCTCTTACTCTGTGTTACAGACAAAGCGAGGGAAAAATCACATTATCCACGAGTGTCCTTATTAGTGGAACAGGGGGGAAGCCAAAGAAGAAGGTGAACAGTACAGTGGGGATCCAGATGAGGCTGTATTTTGGAAACAGATGGCCCTTTCAGTGCTCTCTGATGGAGGTGAGGTGTAGTTTGAGAGGCACATTTTCACTGGAAATTATGCCTTAAACATTGACCACTTGTGCTGCATTTGAGCTTCGTGCAACCCGCAGGACTCAGCAGACAAAAGCACTTGTGCTGCCAACAGGTGAACAGGATTTACTTTCTGATTTGCTTTTTTTTTTTTTTTGGGGGGGGGGGTGTTTTTTGGTGGGTTTTTTGGTGGTTTTTTTTTTGGTGTGTTTTTGTTGTTGTTTTGGGGGTTGTTTTGTGGTTTTTTGTTTGTTTGGTTTAGTTCGTTTTGGTGTTGTTTTTTTCGTTTTGTTTTGGTTTTGGGGTTTTTTTTGTTTTTTTTTTTTTTTTTTTTGGGGGGGGATGTTTCTTTGTGGGTTTTTGTTTTTTTTGTGTGTTTTTGTAGTTGTTTTGGGGGGTTGTTTTGTGGTTTTTTGTTTGTTTGGTTTAGTTCGTTTTGGTGTTGTTTTTTTCTTTTGGTTTTGGGGGTTTTTTTGTTTGGTTTTTTTGGGGGTTTGTTTTGTTTTGTTTTTGTTTTTTGGTTTTGGGGGTTTTTTGGCGAGGAACAGGGCAGAAGCACACCACCCATGAGCCGTACCTGTTCCGTGTCCCGGTGCCCACCCTGGGGCCAGCGGCAGGAGAAAGGAGGTTGGCTGGAGAGATCAGCAGGTGTCACACGGTGGGAGGACTCTGCAGCGTGAAGTTAAATCTTAACTTTGCTGTGGATTTCCCAAGGGACGGATGCCTGTGACGTTAAAGGGAAAGCTTTCAACACTTGGTTTGTGCATTTAAAAACCAGGAGCGCACTCACACGGAGCAGCTCTGGCGTAGCAGCACATTAAACACCCAAACCTGAGCCCAGAGTCACTGAGGCTGGAAAGGACCTCTGATCCCATCGAGCCCAAGCCGTGACCCGACACCACCATCACCTGCAGGGACGGTGACACCCACCAGCCCCCTGGGCAGCCCATTTCAGAGCCCAATCGCACTTTCTGAGAAGAAATTCTTCTCAGAATTCTGAGCAGAAACACGCTTCTTCTGAGAAGAAATTCCTCCGCAGATCCAAAATTCCTCCTGGCGCGCAGGCGGCACAGGAGCCCGCGTGAGGGGCTCGGGCCTTTCCCCTTCAATGACCTTTAATGACCTTTAGTGACATTTGGCTCCGGCGCCCAGCAGGGGGCGGTGCCCGGGCCGCCGCCGCAGCGCAGGCCCGCGCATGCGCAGTGCGGGGGACGCAGGACAGGCGGCGGTCGCGGCCGAGGCGGCGGCGGCTGAAGGAGAGCCGCGGACGGGGCCCCGCGGCAGCGCTGCCACCCTTCCCGCTCCATGCGCAAGATGCTGCTGGCCGCGCTCTCCCGATTGCTGCAGGGCCCGGCGGCCGCCGGCAGGACGGTGAGTGCGGCCGCCGAGCGCGGGCGGTGCCGGCCCCGCCGGGAGCGGAGCGGTGCGGGAGGGGCGCAGCTCCGGGAACAGCCCGGGAGACGCGGCGGGAGCTGCCCGGGAGCGTGGGTCCGGCAGCAGAGGAGAAAAACTGATGAACAATTAAAGAAAAAAAAAATGACACCTTGGTTTTTCTTTCCCCCGCTCTGCGTGGCGATGCCCAGTGACAGTAAAATGGTCGCTTTTTAAGCCCATAATGGCGCAGGGCCGTGGTCGGTGTTGTTCGTGCGCGCTTGGAGCGCTCAGGTCAGCTCTGAGGGAGCTGCTCGGCCCCGGGGAGTTCAGCGTCTGACTGCGCTGCCTCACCTCCCTGTGCTCAGCCAACAGCCCCTCGCAACTCCTGCACGAGTTTTGTTTGTTATTTTTTTTGTTATTAGTGTGAGTCATTTGTTGTATTTTATCTTTGTTGTGTGAAAAATCGTGCTTCTACCACTTCATGCTGCTTATTCCCCCGTAATGACTGTGGCCATGAGGAAAAATTAACCTTGCTGAAAAAAACTTGTTGGCAAGACCAGAGTTAAAAGGTACTTTTAGGTAACTGGAAATCAGGTGCCTTTTTGCCATGGAGAGCAGATGTGTTGCTGCACCCCCGTTCTGAGGCAGCTCTCTCATCCAAGGCTTTCACTGCTTGTGGATGGCTGGATCCATCAGAAAAACACAGGGCAGAAAATTTACTGGAAGCTCTTGCTATCTGTCTTTGGGCTGCATATCTAGGAGTATTTCCTACCTCAAAAAGAGAACCTCTAGATTAAATTTCGCAAATATGTGTGCCTAAAATATGTCCCTTACTATGAGTACTTGGCCTGCTCTGGAGATAACTGTATTCTCCTGGAATGCCAAAGTAAATTTGGTTCCGATATTTCAATAAAGATTTTTGGATCCTAGTGCTTACCAAATATGTAAATATTTGTCTTGAATTGTTTCTATGCCTCTGTAGTGCAGGCATAAATTACCAAATAGATAGAGGTAGACTTAATCCATAAAGCAGTATCTCATATATGCCTTGAGCATTTTCAGAGTGTACAGATGGATTTTCGTGTATAGAAACTACCACTTGTAGTGTTCTGTTCTAATTGGATAATAATTTGCTGACTTCTCCTCCCCTTGTTATTTGATACAGCTACTTACTTTTCTTCCTTTTTTTTTCCTTCCAAATGCTGCAAACCTAGGGAGCTGTTAGCGAGGTAAGGCCTCAGTCAGTCTTGTCAAGGTTTACTTTTGATAGATGTACTGCCCACATATCAGGGCTTTTGCTCAGACTCCTCAGTGTGCTTTTATGTCCTGTTCAGGGCAGGGAGTTTAACCAGGTGGCCTAAAGTCATCCTTCCCAACCTGGCCATTCTGTGATACTGTGAATCCAAACTGTGGGTTTCCTTCCAGCACTAGAAGTAAAATAGCTTTTCTTCATCAATAATACTGATGCATTGTGGTAAATAGTGTAGAAACTAGGTTTTAATTAAAACTTCTAAATAGATAACCTGATAACAGGGCAGGGTGAATCTGACTGATATGCAACAGAGCAGGTAACCAGGATGGATTGAGAATTTTCTCCCAAGCTTCACACGTGTCAGTCAGACCTCTTTTGGAGATGGTGACCTGAACATTCTCAAAATTTTGGTGGAATCTACCTTCAGCTAAATGTATGTGGATTCCCTGGCTGAAGAAGCTTTTGTGTAACTTAATTAGCAGTACAGTCTTGCCACTAAAGATGTAGTGTTCTTTTACACTGTGGCCACAGTGCATGCATGGACACGGGCCCATTCTGTCTGACGCTGCAGTGAAACTTGCTAAAGTCATCTAAAATCACCACCATTCATTAGTCAATACCCTGTGTTCCTTCTTTAAGACCAGTAACATATTTTTAAACATCATTCCTATCTGTCCCCTACCATGCCACCCTTTCTGTTGTTCTGTGTTTCTTGTATCCTCAGGAACCTTCTGTGTTTCCACGTTTTTAGAGTAGCCATAGTAGTGGCCATGCTGTTACTGAAATGATGCTGTCTCTCTCCATTGCTATGGCTTTGAATTCCCCCAATTTCTCTTCCTATTGAAAATAAAAAGTGAGAGTTGTTTATATTTCAGATATCTGCTGGATTCCTTTTGTTTGGTTGGTTTTGGGTTTTTTTTGTTCTATCAAGTCAAAATTCCAGTTAGCACAGAGAGTCAGCAGTCAAAGTCTGCATTGGCTGTCTCTCCTTATATTGTCAGCCTGGCATGTGAAGGGATAAACAATAATTTTTGTGGTTTTGATGCTCTTTGTTGTCAAAAGTTTTGAAACTTACTGGGTGTATTTTAGATAATCAAGGGTATTACCAGTTTAAAATATTTTTTTCTAATCTTAGTTTTAAATAATGTGTTTTAAAGGACTGCATACAGAATAAAAGTTCCCTAGTCTTATGAGATATGCCACTGCTGAGTCTAATTTATAAGTTATTTCAGTTTGGGAGTACTCTTAGAAATTACTTGAAAAGTCACATATTTTACTTGATAATTACATTTAAACATTGCTCATGCTTTGTTTTTGTCTTTTTTTTAAGGCCTCTCGAGTGATGGTAGCATCACGTAACTACGGAGACTTCGCAAGTGAAGCTACGTTTGACATTAAGGTGAAGAAGAACACTTAATACTGGCATTCTTTGTAAGCATTTGTTAGAGCAGATCTTAACCTGATGGACTGGTCCCCATCTCTTTTTCAGTTAGAAAATATGGTTTGAATTTCCAGGACCAAACCCCTCACTATCTGACCTGATTTCTAAGTGCAGCTGGAAATACTGTGTTTGCAGTGGGTGGTAACATTACTTGTTTCTTAAGAATGTGAAGCTATGATGTTTTGCAGCTGTTATATTACAATGCAGCTGTGAGAACAGAGTTTATATTTTAGCAAGGAGCTAAAGAACTTGTTCTGTTCTGTTGTTTTCTTAATGCTTTTCAAACAATTAGGTGTTTGTAGTCTATCCCAAAGATGCAGCTGGTTGAAGTCTGTGTGGGTTTTTGAGGAAAAAATATGGCTGCTCAGAAAATGGGTGTTATATTCTGTCAGTTTTCCAGTCTGGCTGGGTCTTAGGAAAAAGTGCTGTTTCTGTTGGCAGTAGGTTTTGTGCTGGTGTTTCATTCGGGAATTGATGAAAAAAAATCTGAAAGAAATAATTTGGGTTGTTTTCTACTCTCTCCCTGTTTGGCTGTGCCTGTGAAGTATGAAAATTGTTTCAGGTGGAAGGGAAGGAATATATGTTTAAATGAAAAGTCTTTTTTGAGTAGATACAAGGTTTAATATTTGATCCTGTGTTCATAACAAGACTCCAGAGTTTCTGTTCTGTGAACTTTGAAGCAGAGTTGTCTTGAGCAGTGTGCCCAGATGTTATATCCAATTCATCTGGGTGTCAGTGGATTTGCTCTGGACTGACTTTCGCTTTGATATAACTCTTGTTAACCTATATAGAAGTATTTTGGCCATTTAATCTGCACTGACAGAGTAATCTGTTTAGTTTCTTCCACTGAACTTCCTGTTTATTTATACAGAGGTAGCAGAGGTGAGGGCCAGTCTTAGGGCCAGATCTTACAAACAGAGCAAACTCTTGATCTTTCTTATCTCTTCACTAAGCCTCTGTAGCTCTTACCAAGTATTTGGCATGCAACAGCCATGGAAGTGCACTTGCCATATTTCCAGAGGACTTTAGTTCATCTTTTGCTTGTAGGAATAATGAGGCTTTATTTTCTGAGTAGAAATCTGTCTTTATTAAAAGTAAGGGGTTTATTTTCTTGAATTTTGAAATGGTGCACAGTTGTCCTGACCTATGAGTTCAGGTTTTGCTGGCTTTCTTTTTTAGAAGGGATTGCACTCTCAATTTGAAAATGGCAGATATTAAAAAATTAAGTAATACTTGTAAATAGGAGGAATGATTTCCAGGAAGTAACGACTTGTTGAACCTTGCAGCAATGTGACCTCCATCGGCTGGAGCAAGGGCCGGGCACCACGGCAGTGATGACTCGAGAGGAGGGGCTGCAGTACTACAAGACCATGCAGACCATCCGGCGCATGGAGCTCAAGTCTGACCAGCTCTACAAGCAGAAGATCATTCGTGGCTTCTGCCACTTATATGATGGTCAAGTAAGAACTTTTGGCCAGGAGGTTTTATATTGCCTTACCTTATTTAATTCAGGAGAATGTAGAACTGAGTGTCTGTGTACATTGTGAGAGAAGGAGAGGAATGGGGAGGAAGGAGGGGGAGAGACACAAAGACATGGAAGGGCACAGTGCAGCTAAAGATCAGCTGAATGTGAGGAATGAGCACATTTGAAGGCCTTCATTTTCCCCCTCAAGTTTCATTTATGGCTTTTGTTTCTGTATCTCATGGATCATGTGCCCACTAAAAAGCAACAACCAGGAGAAGAAACTTCATGGACTTACTGAAACTTTGCTGTCTGTCCATTATGCCCTGATGTTTTTGAATTGTGGGGGAGAAATTCTTCAGATATTTGCAGATTCTGGTTCCTCTCCCATGTGCCTTTCCTAGTCAGTCAGGTTGGAATTTAGAGCCCAAGGCTGTTGAAGCTCCAGGCCTGTTACCAACTCTTGGTATTTAAGTCAGTCTCCTGTATACCTGTGCTCTTCCTGTGACCTGCCAGCATTTGATGTGTGTGGGATGAGCAGTGTGGCACGGT